TCTCATTTAGTGGAGCGGAGGTTTGACATCTTGAGCTTCAGGCTTTAGAGATGTGCTGTTTGCTCTATTCAAAGCCTCAGGTTTTTAATCTCCTATTGTGTGGTGGGAAGTGTTCCTATCAAGCCTGACTCAAACCTTAAGAGGTTTAAAATGGTGATGTAACAAAACTGTGGTGCTTTTGGGCTACCACAAGGTCGGTAATGAAGTTTAACCTTTAAAGTTGAGATTGTCCTTTTTTCCTTATTGTGACGTGTATCCGAGTGAAACGGCTTCTGAAATTAGACAAAAAAAAAAAAGTAGGGTGGGGCTTGATTTCGCAACCAAAAATGCATGTAAACACTATATTTGCTGGCTGTCAGTGTCACTGACAGGTTTCTGAGAGGCGGGCCTGAAACGAGACAGACCCCAACAATAGCCACGCCCTGTAGTAATAGTTTTTGAGAAGAGAAGTCGTTTCGACGGGGGAGGGTAGGATAACGTTTTTAAATAAAGATTATAAGGGTACATGAATTTTAATAATATAGTGAAGTGCACAGATAAATCATTTATAAAAAATATTACAATATTTAAAAGACCAATGGTAAAATTTGATTTCCTGACAGATTTAGGATGGGATAGTCAGCCCAATATCAGATGCCGCAAACTCTTGCTTGTGGGGTCTTCATGTTTTGCTTCTGCTATGAGCAGGCCCACATGGAAACTGTGCTCTCAGAGAGCTTCAGAGATCCCCTTAAAATTGGAACAGCCATCAATTACACATCCCACAACTATGTTTGTTTATTAAATGTTTTGGATAATTTGAATATGGTTTTAGCTGCCAATATGTGTAGTGCTGGTTAGTAGTTAATATACAAAGATATGGAACTTTTGGAGGAAGATGTATTCTCTACTCATGTATTAATTTTAGTCCTGTCAAATCAATTAATCGCGTCAAAAGTTTGTGTTTGTATATTTATGCATAGTATATATATATATATATATATACAAGTATATATATATACACACACACACATATATTATACTCACAGATGCTCGTACACACATATAATATATATATATATATATATATATAAATATATTGTACACACATTATATAAACACAAACTTTAATGTTAGATGTAATTACTTGTGATTAATCAATGTAGACAGTTTTTAATAGTTTACATTTTGAATAGGTGTTGACTGGGATTTCTTTTACTCTTTTAATTCAAAGATCATTCTAAACTGTAATATGAAAGTGCAAAGCTACATATTTCCAAGATCGATTGGTGGGTTGCCCAAACAATAATCAACTCTTTGTTTTTTTAGGAAGTTGAGTTTAATTGGGCTGGTTTAGGTTTAGGTTTAACTGAACTCATCTAATGTGTTTCTTAGCTGGGGTATACATAAAGATGCTTTCAAAAATATCTATTTGGTTTTTGGACAACTAGTAGATTATCCAACCATCATTACCCATACCTAAACTGGAGTAGATATATGGTTTTAATCATGGTGCAGTAGTTTGGATCAATTATGCTACCATTTTTATTCTTATATACGAGTATCATAAAAGTTAGACCTAATTGGATCATATGCTGCACCAAGGAAGGAATTATACAATTAAAAAAATAGAAAAACATAGGCCTACATAAAGAGTGGACCATCCAGGTGAGCCAGTTCATATCGATTTAAGTTTGTTTTTATAATATGGAAATGTGATCTACTGAGGGATACGAATATGGATGTTGTTATTCTGAATGCAGGATATCAGTTTTTAGGAGCTAGAGTTTCTATGCTGTTGAGTTAGCTTCAATGTTAGCACAACCAAGAGAAATTCATTAAGCCAAGCCCCCCTTAAAACACATATTCACAGGTCAACAACAAACTCACACCAGTCTGTTCATGTGGTCAGTCACGTGGTTCTGTAGCTCTGCTGAGGAGAAGAGGAAGAAAGGATGTGTTTCTAGTCCTGTGACTCCCCTCCTCCAGTCTTTTCCCCCCACGTGTGCGTGGAGGAAATGTGAGCCATGCTGCTTTTATCAGCCTCATTGTTAGTGTTCCTCAGGGACGGCGCTTCCTGATGGCAGCCAGAACACTCCACATGTTCCCATTCTGATGTCCTGACGTACACCACCACGCTGAAAAGCTTAAGAAACGTCTTTAATTCTTCTGTTTTCTCCACATTCCTTTTAGCTTGGCCTACATATAGAGGCAGAGGGGGTGGATGAGAGCAGGAAAGCATGGAGAGATAGAATAAGAGCGAAATATAGCACACTAGAGAGAGTGAGTCAGTGCACTGCTGCCTTTCTGACTCGTCTATCCATAAAGGATGTATAAACAGGAACCGGACGGAAAGTCCGCTGATGGATGTGAACTACCGCCACTGTTAGTATCACATTCACCAACTCTCAGATTCCTTGGAAAAAAAAAAATCCTTAAGGAGAAAATAAACAAAAAATGAAAAGCTCTCTTGAAGGGAAAAGAACAATGGGAGTATCAGGTTGCACTTTAGTTCTTTGTATTCGAGTTGTCCAACCAGCTCAATCCTAAAGGCCATATAACTCAAGCGATGACATGGCTGTTAGTCAGACCCTGTTCCTCACAGATGTGTCCGTCCACCTGCTCGTAATGGGATGTTCACAATACGGCTTGGCACAGAAGCAGCAATCTTAAGTAAACACTCAGAAAAATTGTGTGTGAGACTGAATGGAAAGTGAGTAGGAGCAAGCAGTGATTTGAGATCAAAAGAAAGGAGTGTGCAGACGATAGTAACTCTAAGCATGTTTCATTGGTTGAGTGCGTCTGGACAACCTAGTCATAGTGTGAGGACTTCTGAATGCACTGCACACTCATTTTAGCCTGGAGGAAACTGTGATGTTAGCGTGTTTGGTCTTTCCGGCAGACTTAATTTAATATTAATTATGAGCTTTCTGGCTTTGATAAAAAGAAGACATTCCCCGCCATGACAGATGGCAATCAAAGCACTAATCAGATTGTGCACTGGTGCAGGTATCTATACGGACTGACATGGCATGATCCCTCTTTCACAAATTAGCCATGGTTGAGGGGTGTTTTGTATTAACACAGATATTAACAGCAGCTGTAAGCTCTGATCTCTAGATAGAAGCTTATGTCTGATGTGTATAGTCATAACAATACAAAGTGACTTTATGTAGTTAACTGCAATTTTGAGTTGCGTATGGATAGTTAACCCAAATATTTTGTCATTATTCCAAATCTGAATGACTTCCTTTTTTCTGCAGAACACGGGAAAAAAAAAATCTGAAGAAAGTTCCTACTTTAAAGTTCTACTTTAACTGTTTTTGTACAATATTGGACCTTATTGATATTTACTATATGGATATTTTTCATAAATCATCTATTTTGTTCCACTGAAGATCATGCAGATTTAGAACAACATAAATGATGACATAATTTGCAATTGTATGTGAACTATTCCTTTAATGGCCAAAGTTGCCAAAGTTGTGACTAGATTAGTCCTGATTTGTCTAGTCAGTTTGAGGCACTTAGAAGCAATTAAGCTAGATATTCACGAGCAGAACTGTTTATTCTTTTTGTTTGTGAAATAATCTTTCGAATGTTAGTTTGATAACACACCACATTGTTAAACGTTACATGTAGTTACTGTAGTAATAATAACTATAAATGATGCGTAATAACATGCAATAAACCCTAACCCAAACCTCATCCTAACCCTATCGTAAGTACATGTGAAGTGTTCAGATGCAAAAGCCTCTAAATGCCATTTGAAATTTTCTTCTAAAATGATCATTTTTATCAAGCTTGTATATTTAAGTTCAGTAATTTCACTTAAATGGCAATAAAGATTACCTATTAATTGTCATTTAAGTGAAATTACTGAACTTAAATATACAAGCTTGATAAAAATGGTCATTTTAGAAGAAAATTTCAAATGGCATTTAGAGGCTTTTGCATCTGAACTCTTCATGTAGTTAATTATTAATACTCTGCACTTAAATGTAGGGCTGTCAAACGATTAATCGCATCCAAAATAAAAGTTTGTGTTTACATAATATATGTGGGTGCACTGTGTATATATATATATATATATATATATATATATATATATATATATATATATATATATATATATATACACACACACACATGCTTGTATATATATTAAAGAAATATTTTCATGCATATACTGTATATAGATTTATATATAATTTATATTATATATAAATATTTTATATATAATTTTTTTTTTCTTAAATATGTATGCATGTGTGTGTGTGTATATATATATATATATATATATATATATATATATATATATATAAACTTTTATTTTGGATGCGATTAATCGTTTGACAGCCCTACTTAAATGTTTAACTACACTTTAATACTGACACCTTAAAATGAAGTGTGACCATTGTTTTTAACTAATTACTTTTATTTTGACTACAAAAGTGGTATTTTCTCTAAATGTTACTCCCATTTTTTCAGCTGTTTCATATAAACTTGACCCTAAACAACATGTAATAACAAAATAAACAGTGGTTGCTTGTATGTCAGTAAAAAAAAGTGCTACGTGCAGAACATTAAAACATCACTATTTGTAAATTAGTAGTCTCTGACTATACTGACTATTATCTCTGACCAGCTATAAAAGTCTGCATGTTCTCTGTGATTCAAGACGCCTTTTACTTTTTGATTTATTTATTTATTTATTTTGTACAATACTTGAGTAAATTCCGTAAAGATTGGTGGTGGCCAAGTTATGTGTACTTAACTGTATAGGGGCTAAATCAAACAAGACCTAAGACATCCTACAAAAAATCCAAGCTACAGTACTCAGTGTGTGCATGGGTGTGGGAGTGAAAGAGATTGAATTCTGCTGCTTGATTGGGAATCGCTCTGCATGTGTGTAAGGAGAGTTTCTATTTTTGTCATGTCACCATGACCTAGTATTTACAGTTGATTTCACCCTGCTGTGAATGTGCTTTCATTAATCTCTCTCTCTCCCTCCACAACAGATGACGGAAGGGCGGAGATGTCAGGTCCATCTCCTGGATGACAGGAAATTGGAGCTCCTGGTACAGGTAAGACCCAACACACTTTTTTTTATTTTTATTTTTATTTTTTTTTACAACAATGCAGATAACGGTACAACATGACCCAAATGTGATATCGTAGTTTATTGTTGAGATAATTGATTATGCTTGAATTTGTGATGCTTCACCAGCACAATGTCCAGTATTAGTGCAGAAATATTAAAGTAGTATTAATATAATATGTATAGGTGTGAAGTTTTTTTGTGCGTGTTTTTTGTGGCAAGGCCTGAGGTGTCCTCTCGTTTGTCTGGGAAGGGAAATCCTCATTGTTCCTCTGAGACATAATTAATGTCTTGTGGAAATAGGCGGATCTTTATCGATCTGTGCATGTATGAGTTTGAATGTTTGCTCTGTTTGTATGTGTAATATGATGCCGTTATTATTATGCCCATCTCCGATTTCATGGCCAAAGAGACTCTGAGATTAGGTCACTCTGACCTGAACTCAATCATATGTGTATGCATATGTCGGTCTCCCAAGTGTATTTTAAACATCAGTACCACTAATAGTCAGTCTGGCAGGTTTTGGTTCCCATAATGACTCTAACCAGCAGCTTCTCAAATCACTCATAAAGCGACCAAACCCTCCATAAATCAGAACACAAACATCTTCTTTCAGGATGAGTTCAGTTTCCATAACAGCACTGTCTGTCTCCCATGCCCCATCAGCCCTGCTCAGACCTCAATATAAACAGAGCATAGCACTTCCTCAACACTTACACTCATATGAACTTTCTCAGGAAATCCCTAATCACGAGGTAATCTCAGTCTCTGAACACATGAACAATACACTATCCTATTGTTCTATTCTCCTCTGTTTTGTTCTGTCATGTAATATTCTATTTTTATTCTATTTTATTTTTTTAATTATATTTTTTTTTATTCCCTCTCTCTGTTCTATTCTTTATTTTTATGTCATTGTAGTATTTATTAGAGATAATAAATACAATTTGAAAATTTGGGCCGATACCGGTAACCGATAATTCTTTATATTTGAAAGCCGATAAATCTAAATCCATAAATTTCTATATCATTTTTGAGATCCGGATTGCAATAACATAAGTCACCATTAATCCATCTGAATTGTCTCAGCTGTAGGAAATAATCCGTTATTCATTGGCTTTAAGATATCGGACAAATTTTCTCATTGGGCCGATTACACTAACATTAAAAATTTGCATATTTTGGCCGATACCGATATGGTGGCCGATATATCGTGCATTCTTAGTATTTATTTATTATACTACTAGGGCTGAAACGATTCCTCGAGTTACTCGATTACAAAAATTCCTCGAGGCAAAAAATCTGCCTCGAAGCCTCGTTGAATTCCTATGACGCGCACTTTACGCGCACTCACTAACGCTGAAGTGTCAATCCCTTCGGTCAAATCATGCCTGAAAGATGAGTTCGTCTATAGATCTACCTGTTGAGCCACTCGTGATCGACTAGTTTTAGGACGCATATTAATTCGCAAGTAAAAATATCCTTTAATCTAGTAGTGCGAGCGCGCATGCGAGATGTTGAGCTCCTAACCGCGGCTCGCGCACGACGGCAGAGAGGTGAGCGAGCGCGTGCACCCATGTCTCTCTCATGCGCCAGTCAGACCAATTGCGGCAATTCATCATATGCTTAGACTTTTATGTAGCCACGCAACAAAAATTTCAGCATACATTCACCGGGACTTGATGGAGGAACAAATATTGTGAGACACACAGACACACACTCTGATGTTTGTCTTGAGATTACAGTTGAAAAAGTCTGATTGTTATGTATAATTGTTTTATTTCCATTTATTTTTTTTATAAATTGTACACATTTGTGTACCTGTTTGGGTTGATATTTTATATTAATTTATTTTTGTTTCCAGGTGGGTAATTTGCAGAAGGTGCAATCCTTTTTTTGTAATGTTGTATTAAAGGGTTAGTTCACCCAAAAATGAAAATTAAGTCATTAATTACTCACCCCCATGCTGTACCAACCCCGTAAGACCTTCGTTCGTCTTCGGAACACAAATGAAGATATTTTTGATTAAATTTGAGAGCTGTATAACTACCACATTGGCTCCTAAGGGACTGCCTCTTGACGGCCCAGAAAGTCAATGAAGAAAATGTTTAAATATCCCAAGTGACTACCGTGGGTCAACTATATGTTTATCAAGCGACGCAAATACTTTTTGTGCGAAAAAACAAACACAAATAACGAGTTTATTCTACTATTTCTTTTCTTCCTTGTAGGCCAGAAACGAGATTTCCTTAGATTTCCACGACGCATGCGCGAGAATTGCGATCTGAAGTAGTGCAAGCAGATAGCAATTCTCGCGCATGCGTAGTGGAAATCTAAGGAAATCTCGTTTCTGGGTGAACTAACCCTTTAAGAAGACAAAACTAAGGCCAAATGGGCTTTACTATTTAAGTTTGTATTCAAAGTTTTACATGTTATGGGCTACATGTAACATGTTTTACAGTAAATTGTTTTAACTGTATTGTTATATAATTGTTGTTGGCACTGGCACTTATAAACACTAAATGGCTAAAAATTGCAATAATTAGTTGTGGAGCCAAATGTTGCAGTTGGAATAAATACCTCTATTTTTTTTTAAAGAAATAAAAGCCAAACACCTTATCATTTTCGTAATACATTATTTGTTTTGGTTGCTTAAAAACACACATAAACAAATTATCCGATTACTCGATTAATCGATCGATTAAGTGCTAGATTAATAGATTACAAAAAGAATCGATAGCTGCAGCCCTAATACTTACTTAGTATTTGTTTTACTCAATTCTGTTCATTTTGTCTTTCTTTCTTTCATGCTCTCTCTCTCTCTCTCTCTCTCTCTCTCTCTCTCTCTCTCTCTCTCTCTCTCTCTCTCTCTCTCTCTCTCTCTCATGCCTGTCAGATGCAGTTAGGTGACCTGATTCCTCTAGACTCCAATCCAGTTTTAACTCCATCATAGTTGGAGAAATGTAATTCCTCTGCCTTCTCCATCTCTCATTTTCCACACACTCTCTTTCTCTCCTCTGAAATGCTGGTTGAGTTGATTGCGGTTGCAGTTATGGTCTGATAAACAGAGAAATCTAGAAAAGAGAGGAGGTGAGAGAGTCCCTAACAATCAGGTAAGAGGATAAAGAAGGGATTTCTAGGAAGAGATAAAAAATAAGGGATGAGGCAGAGGTAAGAGAAGGAGATATTAAAAACAAGAGAGTATTTCCTGTATTTCCCCACTCCCTCCTCAGTTTATGATTTATTGAACTGTTGCAGAAACGCTTATTCCATAATCTTACACATTTGTCCTACATGAATACTTAGATATATGTTCTTTTAGCATTGGCTTAAATAATTAGCCTGTTCTTTCTGCTTTCTGACTCTTTCTCCTCTTTCTCTTCCTCCATGTGGGCAGATATTCTGGAGAAGGGTGTGTAGGTTAATCTCCATTGAGAATTCTGGTGTTATTCCAAGTTATTTTTTTTTTTTTCTGCATGTTCCTTGAGGAACAACTCTTCGATTTTTCTGTAAGAGGAATTGTGTTGATGTGCTACAGGACTTTGTGATAACTAAAGGGGCGGTCACACTAAATTTTGCATTCTGTAAACTTCCATTCATATGCATGTGAAAGAACATCTACGCAAATACATGTGTTGACAAAACAAATTCAAATTCGCTTGGCGGAAATACATTTGTCTAATTGAGAATCTAAACGTCACAGATTGACTTTAAAAATTTGACTTCTTTATGAGAGAAACTTAAATACAAACGTATATAGTAATACTATAATACTAATAGTAATATAAAACTATAAACCAAATAATCTTTTTAATTTTAAATATATAGACATATTAAAAAGAAAGTGACAAAACACAAAATTTAAATGAAAAGAAAATATAAAAATTAAAATTGAATATTAAAAACTATGATATAATATCAGTTATTCTAAAATAACACTGATCATGGGAAACTGGAAAGATGGTGTATTAATGCAGGTGCTGTTAGGTTCTCTCGTGTTTTAGTTCGATGCTTCTTCTCAGATGTCATTTTAATTTACAATTTCTGGAAGGCTCAATGCTAAAGGGTTTTTTTTCTACTGGCCTGGCTGGGCCAGTGGTTCAGATTTTAACTTGCCTTGCCAAAATTTTCACTGGCCCTGGCGGCCCCACCACAAAAAAATTAAATTACATAAATGAGTTATTAAAATCGTTATTGTTTTCATTGTGTTTGACGCATGCAACCTTAAAGGGTTAGTTCACCCAAAAATGAAAATTCTGTCAGTATTTACTCACCCTCATGTTGTTCCAACCCCGTAAGACCTTCGTTCATCTTCGGAACACAAATTAAGATATTTAAGATATTAAGATCGCTCCTGCATACAGTCCATGGGCTTCTTGAGGGACTGGCTCTTGCTGTCCTCGAAAATTCATTAAAGACATCGTTAAAATAGTCCAAGTGACTACAGGGGCTCAATCTTAAGTTTATCAAACGACGAGAACACTTTTGTGCGCAAAAAAACAACAAAAATAACGACTTTATTTCAACTATTCGTTTATTTCTCCCTCTGCGCGAGTCAGGTTACTAGTTTAATAGCGTAAGCTTCTGTTATTGTACGTCACACGCATCACACACACATGACCAGCGTCGGCCAATAGTGAGCCTACGTGTGACGTAGCTCTACGCAATCACACTACGTTAACTGACTTACAGGCTCATGGAGAAGGAAGTGAATAGGTGAAATAAAGTCGTTATTTTTGTTGTTTTTTTGCACACAAAAGTATTCTCGTCGTTTGATAAACTTAAGATTGAGCCCCTGTAGTCACTTGGACTATTTTAACGATGTCTTTAATGACTTTTCGGGGACAGCAAGAGCCAGTCCCTCAAGAAGCCCATGGACTGTATGCAGGAGTGATCTTAATATCTTAAATATCTTAATTTGTGTTCCGAAGATGAACGAAGGTCTTACGGGGTTGGAACAACATGAGGGTGAGTAAATACTGACAG